CCCTAGCCTAGCGTTCAGTTGCACAACTCTAACTGGGGGCAGTCCTTGATCTGCCAAAGCTAAGTATTAGAGATCATACACCAGCATGAAAAAAGAAACCACGTAGATGGAAACGGCACTGTTATTGCTAGGAAACTCTTTAAATCAATCCTACAGGTCTTTCAGCATCAGCAGTGGTAGAGAAAGTATATGCCAATGGCACGATGTGGTAGAAGGGACAAAGTAGCCACATCAGGTCTTGCCACAAGCTCAGGATGTTATGCTTTTACACCTCAAAACTACACCATGAAAAGCAAATCTGATGCAAGCAAGCATAAACTCACACATGCTTATGCACACTTAGAGAAAATACATCTCGACCACAAATATTTTCTACTATTTTTGACCGGTTGGATGATCACTTCCATAACAACATATTTGACATACCATGACAAAGAAAAAGTCCCGGGTGACATTTCTGCATGTTTTAACAAGGCATCAGTCTTCGCTGAACTGGCTTACACAACTCTGGCCTGTGTGCTGGGAATACCACCATTGACTCTTGGGGAAAAACAAATCTGAACATTTGGGAATTTGGGAACTCTCAGCAGCTGGCTTTCTCTAGCCTGCAGGGAAAGCCAACAACAAACAGGCTGGTACAGAGCAGAAAAATGTGGACTGTTTTATTAAAATTGGTGCCTGACATACAGCAAGCGTCAGTGGAGTAACACCCATGAGTTCTTCTGCAATTATGCTTGGTACCTATTGGCTAGATTACCCCTTCTTCTTTTGGGTAAATTCTTCAATCTCAGATCTCTAATAACAAGGAAAATCTCCTTGCTCGTTAGGAGGTTATACTGCAAAAGGGAGCAAGAGACCTTGTCATCTCCTTATTCCCTGGCTGAGCCATATGTAGCACAAACATCCCAAGAGAAAGCTCTGGGAAAAAGCCAGGCTTGGCTTATTGAATGCACGTGAATTGCAGTGTTTTTAAGGTGATATCATTCCTCCTACTGCTTGGTCCACACGGTCTTGATGTGGGTCAAACTGTAAATGACACGATTCGGTTGCCACCGTGCTAACCTCTGCATTCCTCTGACTCCGAGGGAGAAAGTCTCTTCTTCCTTTCTCACCTGGCTTCAAATGGAAGTCTCATGAATGCTGTGGATTTAGCGTGTAGTTTTATAATTGTGGTTTTATTTGAATTGCCGCAAAAATGTTGGGTGAGATTAAACACAGGCTTCTTCTTTTGAAGAGGTCTGCGCTTAATATGGCTTTTACACCCTGTTTTCTCACTAACTTTTAATTTTTCTCTCCTTTGAGTCTCGTTGCAACTCCAGCTCCTACTCTGCAGTTGTGAGAGCCTTTTCTCGGTACTGTGCTGAGTGATATTTATGCATAAACTTTTGCTAATTGCTGATTCCATTGGCATTCATGAACCTATGCTGGAATGAATGAAGCTTTCATTCATGTTTATATATTAGTTTCCAACATTTGTATGTTTGTAATCATCAGGCTAAAACCAGCTTTCATTTGCAGAGATGTAAACTGAGGGTAACTGAGTCAGGAGATATACTCTGTTATGTTATTGGAAAGATTTTTTCTAGTATCATTGAAAGTTGAGTTTATCACAAAAAAATCCCAATTCCATAACTCTATGTAGTTTGTTCAGGACTGCTAACTAGTTATGGCTACATTAACAAGCAGTTTGGATCAACAGAAGTCAATCTCTAGAGGTCTTTTTGTGCTGGGGACCTCACACAGGCACTTCTACAGGTCGCTGGGACTCTTTAGTTCAGATAAGCTCTAAGTTTGCTGCTATGCACTAATTCTCTGTTACTGCTGCAGCTCACCTCCCAGGCTAGTTCTATTCAAAGAGAATCCAGGTCAGGACCTGTGGTGCCCTCCCTGATGCGAACCCACACTCAGCAAGCGGGCAACAGTTGAGCGTTGCCTGAAAAGCGCTCTCCTGATCTAACTAATGAACGCACTAACACAAACACACCCTATGCGTAAATTACAGAGACTTACACAATTAGAATATCTCTGTGGCAATCCCTAGCCATCAACAATTTTCCCAGCCATATAATTGCTACTATTAACAACACAAGTTCCCAATTTAACAAATGGAAGCAAGATAAATACCCACATCATCCTGGCTTCTCCCAGCTTTATTATTCAGAGCATAGCAATCTGTTGCCCTTGGTCTTTTGGAAATAGTGCCCATGTGATAATTTTAATGACAATGCAGCACTTCTTCTGGTCTATTCTGGATATCTGAGGGCTTTGATTCCTTTATCATGGAGGAAGTTCGGATGGTCAAGTGAATTGGGTCTGTCATGCCCCAAGGGCCTGTACCTTATTTTCTTCTGCTCAGCTGCCTACCTCTTTCCTCACTCTTTACACTTGGCAATAGGTAACTCAGCATAGAGACCAGAAACCAAGGAGGGCACTTAGACTGGAATCGATCAGGAGAGAAACCAAGGAGGTTTCTGGTGTAGCACCATGGGAGAGGATGGGTGGTAGGAAGAGGTAACGTGATACATTTGCTTAGATTTTCTGTGTCCCTTAGCATTGCTGCCTTGTGGGAGACCAGCCACAACTGCCTACCTCTCTAATACTCTACCATTTTTTGGCATTGGCTCTGGTTTGAATGCCTCCAGCATGGGAAACCAGGCTTCCTGCCTCCCTGTATTCAGAAGTTTTATCAGTCCTTTCTTCATGTCTTGCCATGCTGCTGCAAAAAAGCATCACCTGTGTGCATAACCTTTTTATTATTATCCATTATCCTCCTCTGAAACTGTTAACACGTTATTGCTGATCAGCTGCTTCATACGAACAATTTATGTACATGCTTTCAATCTCACTTGTCCCTGAAGTAAATGTAAATTATGTCAAGTAAAACTGCTTACCCTTAGATAGCAGACAAAGCCTCAAACAGACAGTGGGCCAAGACACAGAAGGATGATATTGCCTTAAAAACACTGTAATTACATGCCTTCAACAAGCCTGGCCTTTTCCCAGAGCTGTCTCTGCAGATGTTTGTACTATGTATGGCTCAGCCAGGCAACAAGGAGAAGACAAGGTCTCTTGCTCCCTTTTGCTGTCTAACCTGCTAATGAGCAAGGAGATTTTCCTTGTTATTAGAGATCTGAGATCTGGATAGCAAACCGATGGCGCTCGCTCAAACAGTTTGTCCATGGTAAAAGAAGGACAGCTATATTGTCCCAGTCCTTGGTAACGCTGGCTGTCCAGCAATACTGTTTTCAGTAGTTCTCCTTCAGGAGTCCAATATTCCAGATGGGAACAGTTTCTGTAAGCAGTTTTTTCATATGGGTCACAGAAAATGCTTAAAAAAAAAGGTCAAAATAACTGATAATGTTTTTACACAGTGACTAAACAGATGTTGAACTGTAGCCTTTGAAAAGGTGTTACATTTGCACAGCTTAGTCCTGTTCACCATATCTGCACACACATCCCATTACAAAGTGATATGCAAATTCATCGATAAGCAATAACACGGGACTGCTGCGCAGGCTTGCACAAGTCCTTTGTACAGCATAACGCACTTGCAAATACAAATATCCCTCAATCAGTGAGAAATTCTGAAAAGGTGATACTCTTCCAGTTCATTTCGTTTTTAGGCCAAATCTATCAGGACCTGAGATTACTAAAGCCTCCGCCATTATAATTAAAATGAGGAACAACTTCAGTCAACTTTAGATACAATTTCAGCTTTCTCAGACTGTTAGCTGTATCTTGATAAAGTTTATAACTGAAGGTTAAAGCTTACTTCGTTCAGAAAAATCAAGACAGACTGGGGTGCTAGAAAAGTCTGTGATCACACATGAATGAGAAAATAAGGCAGAATCTGGTTTATTCAGCTTCACGCAGGTCACATGATGTAACTAATTCCAAATCGTTTTGGTCTCTGTACAGAAACTTCCAGCAAAAGATTTAAATGATGTGATAATTGCCTTTTTCCTTTCATGATGCTTCTGACTATGCCTTAATTTATGATGCTTTTAACTAGCATACATGTATCCTGAGGCTATGATGGATGCACATTTATTTAAGTCAAAAGATAAATCTTAATGAAAGGTTTTCTTAACACAATAATTAACGTATTTTGATCATCATAACAGTAATTATTAGAGGCACAAAACCAGAATCAGATCTCAGCAGAAGCCATGAAGATCCTAAATAGGGTGGAGTACCAGCACTGCCCTATTATTTTGCCAAGAAATGATACATCAAAGTGGCAGCAGTGAATCATCAGACACTACTAGGAACTACGCCCAGTGAATCCAAGAGATGGAAATATTAGATGCGCTAACCTCCATCATAAATTGCAAATTATAATCGCACAGCAGATGATATGCCTTTTCTCATAGTTACCAAGCTATGCTCTCCTTATGCCTCTCCCAACACAACTGCTCATCAGATTAAACAATGAAACCAGAAGAACCACAAAACCATAGGAATTTTGGCTTGATATTAAAGGTCCATCTATTTTTAAGAACAGAGTTTTATTTTGTGAAGGATTATAAGCTCTCACTACATATCAAATAACACAATTGGGCAGCCCTGTTCTCTTAGAAACCTCTTTAAAAAAAAAAAATCACCTTTTTTGTGGGATTATACACACCATGAGATGCAAGGCCAGCAATGAAAAAGAGCACACCCACTCTTACCTGCTGTCATCTTCTCGGTAGTAGAAATGACTAGTATTCTGATTTTCTGCCCACCTATTAAATCAATGTACCCATACACACGGGCAGGCAGACTGCAACTTGCAGCCAGCCCTTTTGCAATGACACACAGTAAAGAAGTCAAACAAAATTGAAAGCATTAAAAAAACCCATCCTACTAATTTTTCCCCTGTGTCAGATGTACTTTAAGAATTAGTTTCCCCAAACTAAAAAAGTTTAACAACATACAAGGGGACCTTATATAAAAGAAGATGCCAGCGAAATGACAGGAATAAAGAGTTACTTAAAGAAAAGGGCATAGTATGGTACCTTTTCCAGTCAAAGTTTCTTCTTGTATTTTCCTCACCGCTTCTTGGCCCTCACTCTCACTGTTTCCAGCTGTTACAATACAGAAAATGGGAAATTAGCAATGCAATCAACTTAAGGACAGTGAATATAAGCATGCCACTATGAAGGGCTAACCACCATGTAAAACCAGTATGAAGTTTTACATGAAAAGGCATGATTCATTACTGTCAGGCAGCAGAGGTTTTCAAAGAGGGCTCTACAAATGCACTGCTGTTCACACGAGTTCTGCCTGTTTATCTCATTTATTCATACAAGATAGGACCATCTGCTGGCTGGACCAGCAGAATTGAGATGTGAATCTGTGAGCCAAGTGAATTATATCACATGCAGATTCTACAAAAGATTCACTATAGGTTAGAGTGGATCTCCCCTCACTTTTTTTCCAAAATGAAGACTTCCACAGTTGGAGGAAAGGCCCCACTGCTCTGGCCCAAATGCTCAGTAAAAGTTTTACTAGTGCTAACATAAAATGTGATTAATCATCAAATAAATGCCTTTTGTGCCATTCAGCTTAGCTGGACAGTTAATAATTGTCTGACATTTTTTTGGCAATTTTTTTATAATAACTTATATGAATGGAAAAAACACAAGCACAAGCAAAATATTGCACTTGGTAGTACGAGGTAAATTTTTTAACTGAAGTTTAGCATTCCATTTATCCATCCACAAACATTTTGCCTAGCATGACACATCAAAAAACCTATTGTTTATTATCTAAATTGGATATACATACTGATATCTCTTATGAACTTCATGAAGTTGCTTTCTTCTTTTCCTGATTATATAAACCTCTGCCTTGATTTCTCTTCAGGCTTTATCTTGTGCTCCTCTACAAGTAAGTGTGCTGTCCTCTCATTCACTTGTTAGCTATGCAGCAGAAACTTCAGTTTTTCCACTTTTTTTCTGACATTTTTTTAGTAACAGGGAATCAGCTCTATCAAAGACCAGTAAAGAATTACAGTGTCACAGAGTAAGTTGAAGTTGGAAGGGACCTCAGGAGGTCATCCAGTTCAACCTCCTGCTCACGTTAGTTGGTACATGCTCGTATTTAAGATGTTAGAACATGCTTTATAGTGCTATTGAACTGGATTCATTTGATCTCACAGAGAATGTGTTCAAAAAGTGGGAGTAAGCCCTCCGAGACAGATCATGTGTCATCCATCAGTTGCACTAGCTGAAGGCTCAGCGCACTAAATGGAGATTTTTGGGACAACCTGACCACTTTGAGGAGGTAGGCTAATGCATTCGTTTGAGGATGGAGTTTTTGCTGTGCTTCTGCAGTAAAAAACAATGATTTGCAACACATCTTTGTTTTCATGATATGCAGGAAGACTCAATATTTACATAAATGTAGCCAAAATAAAGACATTTAGCATTCCAGATACTGGAGAGAAAATAATTCTCACATAAAACCTAGAGTCATACTAGTCTATAACTGTTCTCTATAAATTCCATTAACTATGGGATTATATTGCTCAGACTGGCCAAGAAAGAAAGAAAAGAAAAAAAAAAAAAAAAAGCAAAGCAGACATTTGCAGTATTTTCTTCTTGCTGTTGTTTTTTTCCCCTTTAAAACCATCCACCCTTGTACAAAACAGAAACATTCAGCTTGATGCTAATTTCCAGATACAGATGCAGTGTCAACAAACAAACCCTCCAGTGAAACTGCCATTTCTGGGGAAACCTGTGCACAGGGGTTACAGGCAAGGGATCAATTTTCCTCACTGTTTCACCTCAAGTGATGTACTAGAGTAAGATTTCAAACTCAGTGTGTTATTACACCGGATAGAGTTAGGCTAGAAACAAAAATACTTTGGTGCCAATTCTGTGAAGGTCTTATTTGATTCCTCTTTCATTCAGCACTCCTCACGCAGAGAACAGGCTTATTAAAGCCTCCAGTGTCTTGATTTAACTCTCAGTATGTTCACTTAATTTGTTCTTTTAAAAGAGCTTGTGTTCACAACAAATTTTAATTTGCTTTATTTTGCTGCTATATAAATGGTTATTCATTAAAGCTCAGTGCCTTCCAAATGAGCTCATTTTATTCATATTTGCATATTTTTCACTCTAGACCACTGGGAAAAAATAATTATTTTGCTAAACAGTCACTTCAAATGTCTGTTTCCAGCCTGATTCAACAGAGAGTTTAAAAATGAGATTCAGGAGGCTGGAGTATCGCAAAATTGAAATAGCCTCAGTGAAAGCTGCTACTGTAATAGAGACTTTTGAAATACTTCTTTCAAAGACAATCCTGTAGGAAAGAATAAAGACACTGAACAAATGACCAAAATCCTTAAAAAAAGTTCAAAGACATACATATCAGAAAGATACCATAAGACTGGGAGAGTAATCTTTTGAGTTAGCTTAAGGATGCTTTAGTTAGCATCCCTTTGCTGAGGATGGGTGAGAGAGGAAAGGGACATTTCACTGTTGTACTGCTTCTCTCCTAGTACCTCCTTCTGGGATCCTCTAAGCAAAGCAAGTGGTAGGCATGAAAAAGAACAACCTCCATTTCAGTGCTACATTAATTATACAAAATTCAAAAAATAATACTTTTTAAGTCATGAAGCTAACACAATCAGCTTTAGGTTGGGAAAAATCAAAAATAATTTGTATCTTCTTGATGAAGATGGGTCACTAAAGCGCACGACCTTCAAGTGTACTGAACTAAAGAGGGGGACAGTTTACTATATGAGGGTCAAATTCTTAACCACCATCAGCTGGTTTAGATCCTCAGTAGCATATTTGTAGTGATTCTTCAAAAAAGTTTGTGATACACAGGAGAATCCTGTGCCTGGGCTTTTTGCCAATGACTCACCATAATTTCCATACATTCGACATGCCAGAATTTATCCATGCCAGAATTTATCCATTTTAAGCGCTAGAGCACCTGTAGGGTAAGATCTGCCTGCTCTGGATTCAAGTGGTTTGGAGGGAAGGATAAGAAAGAGAAGACAGACCATGTTTTTTATGCAGTGAGGGAATCTGAACAAAAGCTTTGAGAAAAAGGGATTCAATGTCTTGAGAGCTTACATCATCAAAGTACCCAAAACCATAATAATCTTGCTTTTCATGCTAAATTAAAGTGTCTATTGGGAACTCAAAATAGATATAGTTGTATCAAGAACTGTTTATGCAAGGTGTTCAGTGCCCTATCTGATGTTTTTCTTCTACTTAGTCCCCACAGAATAGTGAAAAATTCAGGTGAAACTGATTCAATAACAATGCTGACTACAATCAATTCCGAAAATAAAACTAATAACATAAAAATAAATTCAAGTCTGAATGGATGCACCTGTATAAAATAAGATGTCATTTGAATGGCAGGAAAAATTCTAACTCTTAGTAAAATACTGAAACCCATGTTGCAAAAAAAAAAGATGGAAAATAGATTTAAATACAACTTTCAGTCAAAAAAATTGACTCTCCTCTTCAACATTCATCTACACAAACGCTACAAGTCAAAGCAAGATCTAAAGCCACCACAGAAGTACATAGAAAAGTTCTTATCAGCAGCAACAGGCTTTGGATCTTACCCTGAAGGTCAGGCTCTGTCATCTTAATCACTTAAGTAGAACCTAACTCTGAAAGTTATTTCAGGGCTTTCAATAGAATTATCACAGACCATTGCTCAGCCTGAATAAGGATGGCAAAAACACAGCCCATGGAAACCCAGCATGGCTGGGAAACACTTACACTGTCGTTAGTTACGGAGTCCTGATACATCTATACGTAATCTTTATACAATATTTTAATTTCTTTGAATGGGAAAATCTCTCCAAAAGAATAATTGCTCCTCATGCTCATAATTTATGTACGAAATTAATCCTGATAAAAAAGCAAGATCTTTTCCAATTGGTATTTTGCAAAAATAGGTATTTGCAATCTTGACGTTTCAAGGGAACGTACTGCAGGGCATTATAAAGAAATTTAAAATAGTCTATGAACAACGGATACAGCCTGTAAAGCTTAAGGTTGCCTGGAGAGAACAAACCCACAAGTTTGAAAAGCCCTTGCTTATCAAAGTTAGCAGGGGGAGAATTTCCTGGCTTTCAACAAGATAACACAAAACCGAAACACAAATAAAAACATTTTGAGATGAACACCAAGAAGATGCACACCACCCAGGATATGGTGGTCCAGAGAAACACGCGACCCCTCCAGCCTGGAGCCCAAGAGCCACCCTGTGTGCCAAGGCACCCCTCAGCCTGCGATTAAACCCCGCTGCAGCAAACCCCAGGAGGGGAGGCAGGGGCGAGCTGCCTGGCGGCAGGGCAGCCGTGCTGGCACATCGCCTCCCAGCCCTCCCCACACACCCCAGCCTCTGGCAAGTGCGACCCTCTCATTCACCAGTGCCTGTGGAACCTGTCTACCTGAGATAAATGCTCATCCCTTGTCTTATTTAGCCGTAATTACATATCAGTTAATCCCTGAAATGGTGAACAACTTTCCAGGGTTCGCAGCCTGCCCTATGGCCCTCCTCACTCCCCCCGATCAATTCAAATAACCCAAGTTTAGAAGCGGTGCCCATAAACTAATGCATAAGTGTGTTACCAGGAGAAGCTTGGTGGTATGGTAATAAATTCTGTATAAATGTATACCATTTGATTAAGGAGTTGTAGAGGGTGATGGTTAGGTGTCTTTGTGGAACAGAATATAAAAAAGATTCTAACTGGAAATTTGAATTAAGGTGCCTCCTCAGAGTAGCATAATCCTCCTTATGGTTGAAGGGGAACTGATTTCATTGGAGCACTAGCCTGAAGACAGGGCTTGCAAGGGCACCCAAAGCCTCAAGAGAAAAACAAAGTCCTATCAGCTGGTGTTAATGAGGATTATGATTTTGTGAGTGTGCACGGCACTGCACAACAAATAGCATGTGCCTAAGAGAGAGGAATGACTGACTCAAAAAGCTCTGAGGATGAGAAATTTGAACTCAGTACAATATGAGTGTTTTTTTAAATAAATTGATAACGTCTTCAATTAAATAAATAAACTTCATTTAGGAAAAAGGAGTATAGATCTTGTGTCTC